TTTTGTCATTTCATTCTCTTGTGAATGTTTACAAACTACTTCTATCATCCAACATGGCTGCCATGTCTTTTGTCATTTCATTCTCTTGTGAATGTTTACAAACTACTTCTATCTTCTTTTATTATTTAGGAAAAAGGGAAAGAAACACATAGATGAAGAAAATGTCTTTAAAGGCCTTAAATTCAAGAGAACAAACTGGTACGTACTCGTGCGCAGTAGAAAAGAATACAGCAGCGGACCAAAAGAATTGCAGGCTCAGAGAATGAAAGTGACGTCATTCATAAAGTTAGCTGCCTTGCTGAAATCGTTAATTTTTCTCTCTTTTTTTCAGTCCAGAGTTCCACGATGTGGCTATAGAGTCTGAAGATCATGTCAACTTTCATTGTCATAAATGCGTTCTCGTAGCTCAACTGGGTGAGAAAACCACTGAAAGCCTTTGTAATCTTTTTAGTCGTGAGTAAAGAAATAGCCTTTAAAAGAACTGACTTTTATTATCGTCTTTTAACAGACTATTTCAGAAGTATGTTGGCATGCGGATGGCTCGAGGTATGAGTTGCATTTCCATCTATTCTCTTATTTTTCCCCAGACGCTGATTTTGCTTCTCTCAACCTGCACGAATTAGCCGGTCAGAAAAAAATTCGTTCATAGCTCAATTTGTCCTAGTTCAAGGTTTTCAGCTCGATAAAGAACAGCTTTCAGGTGTTCCTCAGGCTTTATCTTGGGGCCATCACTAATTTTCTAATTGTCTGGACATTTTTTCAGACAAGCAAAGAGATGAAGGTTTTAAACATGCCAATTCATTCAAGTGTTCTTGAAATTGTTCTGGACTATCTTTACACCGATGACACTAAAACCATACAAGGTATCGCACTCCGTGGTTAGCAATATTTTCAAACCTTGGGAAAATTGACATCCGGTTGACTCAGTTGGTTTAGCATTGCACTGTTGTTGCGCGAGATGTTGTGGGCTCAAGCCCTGGCCGGACCAACACTCGGGGTCTTAAAATAACTGAGGAGAAAGCGCTGCCTTTGTAAAAGACCAGTTTCGAGTTCCAAGTTACCGCTGTGTTCCTTGATTACAGACTCATTTACACAGGATTAACCTCGTATCGGTGTTTAAATATTCACAAATACCAACGGTAAAGTAAAGAATGCACAACTTCAACGATACAAACACTTTGAAACTCGACGGACCTTGACTAGAACCCGTGAATATTCTGCACAAATGACCAATTCTGCCACGGATGACCACTTCAAACGGCGGTACCGCCCGCACTTCATTATCACTATTCATTATCACTAACCATTATCGAAGTTATGTAAAAGAAGCACTGAGGACGTAAAAAAACCCTGGCAGTGACCATCCTCAGTGCGTACACCTCGTTACTAACCCCTTCTCATGATTGGAAGCGTTTTTGAGTATGAACATAGAAAGGGCGCTATATAACTTATACATCATCGTAATAATCGCAAAGACATGAAATCTTCTTTGTACCTACTTGGTAAATTATTTTATTCTTGTCTAGGCCAACAAGATATCGAGTTTGTTGGAAATATTTTAGTTATAGCGGATCAGGTGAGACATAGTACTTTACAGCTTGTAAAGACCAATATTTTTTTCATTCTATTTTTCTTCGAATTTCCCAAAATAGATAAAAAAGTAATCTGCAAATAGCATATGAAAAGCGTTGAATTTCTGTGTAAAAAGTAATGCATTTTCGGCGCTCACAAATGTGTGTTTTCATTGATAGCTTTTGATTGGTCGTCTGACAGAGATATGTGAATCAGTGATGACTAAACTCAGTAAGTATTACCGCCATTTGCATTGCTACGCGGCCAACCCAGACAAAAATCGTATCGTGCACTTTGCAATAGACTGCCGTCAATCAAACACGTTGACGTCATTTACACGCGTTTRGATCGGCCCGGATAGGCCCGGTGAGTGTGGCTCATAATACTTGTAAACAATCGACAAGTTTTGGCGCCTTTTGGATCACACACGCGTGTAAATGACGTCAACGTGTTTGATTGACGGCAGTCTATTTTAAAGTGCACGTCACGATTTTTGTCTGGGGTGGCCGCGTAGCAATGCAAAGGGCGGTAAGTTTGCATCTAGCAATACTGACATCAATAATAAAGGCGTTCATTGTCAAAAGATCCCATCAGATTTTTAAAATTTATCTTCTAAAGTTGTGTATTACAAACTACTTTCAAATGCACTATAGCAAGTATTTCTTATTTTTTTCTAGTTTCACACAAGAATGCTATTGAGCTGCTAGAGTTCTCCTGTGTTTATAATGCAAGTCAGCTGAAGGCGTCTTGTCTCGAGTTCATCTGTTGTAACCTCAGTAGCCTTCTCGAGTCAGGGTAAAGAAAGTAATCATAATAAATTACCATATTGATTTGTTAGGGTGCTTTTGAGTGTGTTGGCACTTCTCCAGTGAAGTTTGTTTTCGTGGTAGATCGAGGACAATGGTGGTGATGGTGGTGATGTTGATTGCGGAAACGATGATGGTGGTAGTGATGCTGCTGCTGCTGCTGCTGATGATGATGATTGCGGTGATGATGGTAATGATGATGATGCTAATGGTAATGATGTTGGTGGCGGTGATGATAATAAATGATCATGATGGTGATGATGGTAGTGGTGGTGGTGGTGGTAATGACAGTGATGATGACGGTGATGATGATGAAGGGGATGTTGATGTAGTTGATGGGGATGACGATAAAAGCGAAAGCGATTACATTTAACATCATTGATGGTCATGATAATGATGATTATAACCTGTTTTTTTATACATATTGTTTTCCAGATTCCTCAATCTTTTGTCTGAGGACACTCTGAACGAACTCTCCACTGCTTATCGAGACATGGTAAGAACTGCTATGAAAGTTGTAAAAATAACCCCTTTAGTTAGCTAAATTTTTTCCTATCTTAACTAGCCTCTTGGAGAAAAGTCTTACATTAATTAATCTTTAAAAGAATCACCGCAAAGAAAGAAATAATACTCAAGGGAATACATGGGAAACACAAATGGGAAACACAATGACTAAAATGTAAATAAATTGCATTCCAATTAAAATGAAAAAGAGCTTGGACTTCTTGATAAAATGTCTTCTTCGTATCAGATTTCCAGCATGGCTTGGAGGATGATAACGCCTTCACACGATCACCTATCTTTCCTCTCACCCGAACTATCTTCTTCTTCTTCGCCAAGAAAGCGACGAACGTCCAGCCGAAAACGGTCCGTAAAAAGTGAAAGCGAAGAAGAGACAGAAAAGGATACCAATGTTTCTGAGGAGAAGGTGCAAGAAAACGGGAATCGAGAACAAAAACTGAGTGAAACAAACCATGAAAGCGTTTTTGAAGTTGAAGAAAATGAAGAAAACTTCAGAGAAAAAGAAAGTAAAACTATTTTAATGGATTTAATAACAACAAACACTGAAAATAAGGTAAAAATACATTTTGTAGAAATAGTGACTTGTTTTGCTAGAGTTTTTCGATTCGTATTTTGAAACTTTTCAGTGGCTTCCTTGTCAATCAAAGATAATTTATTCATCCCACATGAATTTTGGATCGAGTTAATGAGCTGCAAATCAAAAGTAAAAACTTCTTTCTTAGTAGTAAAAAAACTTAAAAAGCTTTAAAAACTATTAGAACAAATCAAAAGACAAAAACCTTCTTGTTTTTGAAAAACATTTGAGTCATAAAGTAGACATTTTCAATTTTTTGAGAAATTTTGAAGTTTTTTTTTTCTGACAATTTTCCCACGTTTTATACTTTTGCTTTTATCATTTGGTTTCTGAAACAAAAAAACTGTACTTTTTTTCTTGTTTTCTTACTTAGTTGGATTCTGAAAAACTAAATGACGAAGGGAATTGGTATCGAAAAGAGGAAGGAAAAAGCGAACAGCCCAAAACATCGAAATATAACAAGAACCGAAGCTTAAAACAAGAGGAAAATATTATAAAATCTTCACCGAACACTTCAAAACCCCAAGAAATTCCAAAACCCCCAAAACAGGTATGAAAAGAGATAAAAGCATAAAGGATTTCTTAGAGTATGTGGAGTATTTTAGCTTGATATCGTTATGGATGCTTTTCAGGACCTGCCGCCAACAAGGCCTGCGTGGGGAGTGAATTTTACGAGGTAAATAAACTCATTCACGGACAAGATTTTGTCAGATATTTTCGAATTGAATTTGATTTTAAAATAATAATTTCTGCAAAAGAAAGTTTGTTTAATATTGTTTCAGTTATCACTTGTTATATTGGTTATTGTTTGCTGCTTTTGTTGCTGTCGTTCAGTGTTGTTGCTGCTGCTGTTGTTGTTGCTGCCTTTGTTGTTGTTACTGCTGTTATTGCTGCCGAAGTAAATTACACCACAATCATTCTTCATTACCTGAAAATATATACCTGTAGTGAGAATATTCATGATATTTGTATTTCAAAGCCCCTCAAGTCCACCATCAAGTGACTTAAAAACCATAATGGAGCAAGAACAGTTGACCGTCCGAAAACAGGGATCCCACTCAGAAACAAATAAAAGCAAGACCAATAGATCGATTAGGATCGAACCAAAATCAAAACAATCCCAGAAACAGAAGAAAAAAGCACTTAAGAATCAACAGCTTGACGTAACTGTTTCTCCTGAACCCGAAAATGAGACGACGACAGGAGAAGCGAAGACAGAAGAGGCAAAATCCAAAGTCATATGCAATCCCTGGTAAAAAAAATATTATAATTAAACAACATAAGAAAATGCTAGAAAAAGTATATGACGATGATGGTAATAATGATGATGCTGGTGATAGCGATTATATGTTGGTGACGATGACTGGCAATGATAATGATTATGATGAAGATGGTGATGGTGATGTCGATGATGGCGAGGATAGTGATAATGAGGATGATGGTGATTATAAATTTTCGTGTGACATTTTTAGGGGTTTACAAGAGAAAAAGCCAACGCCCGTGAGATCGCTGCGTGAGTTAATAGAACAAGAAGAAAAGTCTGCACAATCAATTCTACCGAAGACAACAGCCAACCTATCGCCGAAAACGCTAAATACCACTAGGAAAACAAACGAGAAAGGAAAAGTCGAGAAGACAAGCGGCGCCAAAAGGAAAATAAGGTAAGATTGGACGACTAAGAGATTAATAAGCCGGGGGRAAAAGTTGCCGCGATTCTGGTTCATGAGAACCAAACGTTTTTGACCCAAGAAGTAAATAAAAGGTCAAGAAAATGACATGAAACTTTTCCTTCATAATTACAAATCCAGGTACTTAAAAACTAAGTAAATGATGAGATGAAAGTAAGAAGAAAAGTTTACCGGCACATTTTTTAAAGGTTTGCGGAGTTGTTTCCGACGCGTTTTCGTGTTTTTCCCGCCAATTTTTCGAACATGCGCAATAGATTTTTTACCTGTGGAGATGATTAGGAATTATTTAACGCTCACACGTTGTTATTCTCGGGKTTTTTTTTCTTCAATAGCTGGGGACTGCCTCAGGTAGAACAGAAAGCTATGCCAGAACAAGAAGCATCAGGCAAAGAACCCGCAGTATCACCAAGAAGGTACGTATGGTCGTCTACAGAGCAGACTTAGACGTGCGAGAAACAACCTCTGGGCTGATCTAAGACAGGGCACGGCTAACTCACAGATTGTTGAACCCTGAAACAACCTCTGGGCTGATCAAAGCCGAATTCCTATCATATCTTCTTCATAAAGACATTTTTTGAAAACTTTACGAGCGAGTTACGAAAGTGAGATGCATATCTTTGTTTGTTTTTTAGTGCCTGGTCGTCCAGCCCTAGTCCGGGTTCTCCTCCATCGGCTTCCGTTTCGTTTGCGGATATTCTTCACCTTCAAGAACGTGAAAATACTAATCTAAACAGGTACAACTTCTCGCTTGCTCCATTTTTGATTTGCATATTTGTGAGGTCAAATTTGTTTTTTTCATTTTGTTTAAATTTGAAACAATATTAAATCATTGCAATATTATGAATTTAACCTTTTTCCACCTCAGAGCGAAAGAAAAGCCACTCAGCTTAATTCAAGTGAGTAGAGCTTCTAATTTTTTTGTTTTAGATTTAATTTATCGAACCATGAAATCGGTACCCTCTAGGCTGAAGACAGGGCTGACCCACAGATCGCGCCCTGAAACGCCTTCTGGGCTGATCTAAGTCAAGACATTGATTAAACCCCGAAATAACCTCTGATCTGATCAGGGAAGGTCATGGCTTCTCAAAATGAGTTGGAATTTAGCTTGGTTATGAGATTTAATTTTATGATATTTTAATGTAGCCTTCTTCTCTATCAGCCCTGTCTTTTTTAATTTATTAAGGGATTATTTTTAGATTTTGAAATTATTTGTTGATAAATGGAAAAAAGATTATTATACTCTTGTAAGATTTAGCTTGGTTTGAGTAAGCCGAAATAATTTCCAATTTTCTTAACACCCTACAGCTCGAAGATCGCGCAATACAAGAATTACTAGAGTACTACGGTGGTCGGGACTGCGCATGCGAAATAATCACCGTTGAACGTGTCCCAGCAGCCACTGCGACACCAGTGTGGAACAGAGCAAGGACAGCGTCCGCGACAAGCACGTGATATCAAATGGCTTCCGTATACCAGTAGTGATTGGTTGGTTTGCGTTCCTCGCTTTTTCATTGGTTCAGAATGCAACCCATTTAAGAGTCACTTCTTGGCATTTTTTTATTCATTGTTATTTTTAACCATGAAATCTAAAATTATCTATTTACTAGTAAAAACATTTTTTTAGGTGAATTGGTTACACAATTTCGACTAAACATTCTTTTTAAATCGAAAAATAGACAAAGAACATTCCATTTATTAAAGCGAATGTGGTCAAGTCAGGTCGTAAACAATTTTGAATTATCACTCACAAAAATATACTTGTAAAAAGGGAAAAATCTAGGGAAAGCTCAAAAATTATATGCACTCTATGGTTGTAATTTTAAGGATATTTATATTTTAAAAACATATTACAATGAAAAGTAAAGAAATTTGTATTTTAGAGTTATTTAATATTAATTGTACGAATCTTTACTAGTGTCACTAATTATGGCTTATTGTATAAATTCTTTTGTGTCAATTTTCTAGGCGTGAATAATTTATTTCTCGTGTGGTCGGTTGTGAATTGTATTGAAGCAATTTCCTTGATTTCGGGAAGTTTGCATCATTCAGAAGACATTTACCTTGTCTAAACAAAGTCGTATTGGAAATATTGCTTAAAATGGAAGGCAAAGCGTCTGGACAGTTTACCGAGTAATTTAGTTGAAATTCTTTCATCTTTGGGGATAACAGGAAAGCCAACGAAATGGAATCTAAGCTCTACGGGATTTGAATATTCTTTAACACTCATTTGGAACCAAAACGAAGGAAAAGAACAAGGATGTAGTGCTTTTAAAACTATACAACAGCCCAATATGTCGACTACTTCCAATGACTGTGATTCTTCGGAGCCAAGAGAGTTGTGTGGAGAACCGAAAGAAATGTTTGTAAAGCCCTTTTTGGACAGCACGGAGAAACCTGTGTTGAACGTAAGCAAAACAGATTTCTCAGGTATTACAGAAGTTTCGCAAAATGAAAATCTCTTCAAGTCTTCTTCTTTCAAAAATAAAGAAAATTTCTTGCGTTTTAAAGATGTGAAGAAAGGAATAATTGAGCAAAACTTGGGAGAACCTCGATTTCCAGACGAAGAAAAAAAGCGCCAAGGATTTCAAACCCAAAAAAGAGATACAAATGTTAAGGTTGACGTTGACCACTTACAACGACCTAGCAACACTTCCCTTGACAACAAGGCCAAGTGTTCATGTGGTGAAGAGTTCAAATTCAAGGAAAGAGCGATAAAGCACATTTTGTTTAGTTGCCCTGTTAGTTTATGTTTTAGAATTGATTTAGACCTAAGAATTCACCGAGCGATAGATCAATGGAGGAATGAAGAGCAAAGAATCTTGGGTCGAAAATGGTGGCATGCTTATAAAACGAGTGGCTTCCCAGATGTAAAGATGTCTTTCCCAGAAAACAACCTGGACGAGTTGGAAAGAATGGTGAATGAATTCCTCGCAAAGGCTGGAAAAGATCGACTCATCGACAAGGATAAAAATAAGTTTGTTTTAATAAAGGGTTTAGAGAATTTGCCTTACGAGTTGGAGAGAATGTTTGTGTAGTTAAATCCCGAAATTCGTTCATCCATTTATTCCACTAAAGCGGCAGACAAACGATAAGTTATAATCAATTGTTTTGTGCTTTATTTAATCAGTATCCAGAACACCTGCGTTCCTTTTGGTTTCCTTCAAGGATTTTGAGCAAATCCAGCAACTGTGAACAGTTTTACATGCATGGATTTAGTTATTGGCGCTTTTCATTATTATACCCAATCAGCACCTGCTTGCCTTTTGATTTCCGTCAAGGATTTTGAGCAAATCCAACAACTGTGCACAGTTTTACATGCATGGATTTGGTTGTTGGCGCTTCTGATTATCATACCCAATCAGAAAACAGTAGTAGTTGGATTCAATTAGAGCCAATCGTGTGGTAACGCAGACCAAAACGACCGCGGGCTCTAAATGAGAATAACGAATTCCTGCAAGCGTCATTTTTCTCTACAATACATTGCATGCCATATATATTAATTATATCGAATGAGCAAGAGAATTTTAAGTTACAAAAGATTCGATGATAAAAATATAATAAATAAATAAATCTATTTACAATTCTAGTGGATTCATTGTGCCCCACGAAGGTCCGGCCTTCAGTTTGACAGGCAGTACAACTGCTAATTTCATTGCATTCTCCATTTCCTTCTTAACTATCGCCGCTACTCGGTTCAAGTCCTCCTCGGCTACTTCTAGTATCAGCTCATCGTGTAGCTGAAGAACAACACAAGCGCCATCGATAGACTGGGCACTAGATCCTCTCCTGGGAGTCTGGGCACTAATTCTTGTGCTTTTTCTGCGAGAGGTCATTTCCGGTTCATTGTGGTTATTCTTATGTCGGTGAGTTCGTCGACACGACGAATACAGTTCTGTCAACTTCCGGTCTATGTTTAKCATGGCTATCTTTACTAAGTCAGCCGCTGACCCTTGGACTGTGGTATTCACCGCCTGTCGTTCGGCTTGACTTCGCGCATGTGCGTTTGTGCTGTTGATCGCTGGTAAGTACCGTCGTCTATTAGCTACAGTCACCACGAATCCATTCTTTCTGCAATTTTCTACAGTAGTTTTGAGATATTTCTTTATCCCGCTAAAACGAGATTTGAATTTCTCGATATAAACAGAAGCGTCTTCTTCTCTCAAATTTAGCTGCTCCCCGAGGGATTTTGCGCCAATCCCGTAGATAATCCCGTAACAAATTTGTTTAGCCCGTTGACGCTGTACATCATTTACAGCCGCAGGCTCAATTCCGTTAAGAGAGCCCGCTATCATCCTGAACACATCTCCGCCGGCATTCAACAACTTGAGCAGGCGCTCGTCTCTAGACAAGTGAGCTATGAGCCGCAGTTCTAATTGAGAATAGTCAGCGGCCAGCAAAATACCTCCTTTAAAAGGTATAAAGGCAGTGCGCATGCTCACTTGAAAAGAATTTCCAAGAGTGTTATTTGCCTGAGTTGTTTTCCGATGCCCTCGATTTGTTCTTTGGGCTACCTGTGGCGGGCTCTCGGCAATCACCGTTGGAAGATCAATCTCAAAGTCTCTAGGGACATTTTGTAGATTGGGCTCAGCGAAGCCGACTCGGCCTGTGGCAGTATGCGTTTGACATGTGGGGTAAATCCTACTCATATTGAGCCGTGCATTGAGTTGTTTTTCCCTTTGAACGGGATACACAACTTTGGTCAGTGCACAATTTATTCGTCTCCATTCAAGGATAGTACCTGGGAGCGGATGCAGTGGTTTGAGTCGCTCCAACACTTCCTTATTCGTACTCATGTGTTTTAGTAATTTCCGTCCGCGTTTCCCGCCATTTGTCGTACCACGACGCGTCGCGCCAAGTCTTCTTCCGGCATTAAGACTCTCATCGATCTTGCCATCAGCTGGGAGTTTCAGTTCTATAAAAAGGACCTAAAGAGAAGGAAAGAAGCGATTAGGCTGAAAAGTATTGGGGGCGAGAATCCCTTCCCATGAGAATAAACGGACAAAATGCGTGGCCGCCATATTGTTTGACATGACAAGGGAAGGGAAGGGAACCAATGCGGCCCGAGTTCGAGTCCTGCCGATCTCGATGTCGTATGTGAGTAGAGTTGTTTTTGGTTCTCTCCTGTGCTTCGAGGGTTTTTCCCCGGGTTCTCCGGTTTTCCTCCTTACTCAAAAATCAACTTCTAAATTCTAATTCGATCTTTGGGCTTTCACTTAGTTTGGAGCCAAGCTCTGATGTGATTGTCCCACGCTGTGATACAACAGCGAAAACTTTGTAGATGTGTAGACAAAAGATACCAAGACCAAATAATATCTTGTCAAAGTCAACCAAAATGACGTCACATGCACCCAAGAATCCGAACATCAGGAATGAAGTGCAAAAAATGTATATTACCATGGCAACCTCATCGGGACTAGTGAGAGAGAAGCTATGATTGGCTAGTCTATATGCCTCTTCTTCAAGAGTACGAAGCTTGGCTTGGAGGATGGATTTGAGGTGATCGCATTCGGTGTCTGAGAAGCCAATACCGTTGAGTTCCATGCGCGCCAGGCACTTCATGACTGGCATTTCTACCTGTAGTTGTGGAAAGTTAAAAGAAATTACAGACCGACCAAAATAACCCATTCGATAACCAAATTAACCGTAATTAGTAAAAACACACAGGTGATTATTGAAACTCTCGCGCGCTGATTGGTCGAGAAACTCGCACCATCACACGATAATCACCTCCAGCGATAATCCAAAATGGCGGCCAGCCGCTTTGCTGCTGTTACCGGAAAAAAATGTCTTTTATCTTTTTTTTGAAACAACCACCTGTGTATTTATACTAAAACAATTATTTGCCTCAGCCTCAGTGAATATCGGGGAATAATAACCTCGCCACTCGAAGACTTGCGTCTCGGTCAATATTCCCCGATATTCACTCCGCCTTCGATAAATAAAGAAAGAAAAAACTCAAAACTGACCACCAAACAGTCAACCTACACATCATACCAATAAACTCTCTACCGTCAGCTTTTTTCAGTCTTAGAGAACCTTCAAACTAGCTAGTTAACGTACCTGATAGAATGCCTTGTCAAGATGATCCTTTTGCAGATTTGAGCGAAGCTGTTTCATTAACCAATAAACGATCACCGCCTCGGTACAAGACCTCGCGCGGCCACTTGCTGGGCTTTGACTGGTCAGTCCAAAACCACTCTCCCCAAATCCCGCGCTGATACCTAGATTAAAAGAGATACAATAAAATACTTTAATAAATGATCAAAATTGGTCTAACTTTGAATGTATGCACGTATTGGAGTCAATTTTAAATGAGTGCCAAAAATCGCAATGCACGGCACGGTGACGGTACGACTCCTAGTGAGCCAATCAGAGTGCGCGAGCTTGTCGCTTATCCAATCAAAACGCTGGGATACGGCACCATGCCTTAAAGTGGATAAAGCATTGCACGGTCACGGTACGATAACCGTTTAGCTAATCATAGAACGCGAAATCAGTGCTCAGCCAATCAGATTGCCGGAGATTACATTGACAGTGTCTGTGTGGACGCACCTTCTAATAGACTCGCTTTGTCAACTACGTACTCTCCTGTCAGTTGGTGAAGGGTCTTCTCTCTCGACGATGGATCAAGCAGCCATGCAGCTACTTTAGGATCTTCTATTTCTCCACTTAGTGTTATCCCAGTGCTTTGAGCAAGAGCCTGAAAAAAAGACAAACTGTTCTTTACTTCATATTTTAATTATGCGATTAGCCCAGGCAAATATAGAATTTCTAGAACCTTTATTTCTGCCTATCAATAGACCTCCTCGGCTCTGGAGCGCTCGAGAGTAATGTTGTCCCATTTTAGACCACGTGTCATTCGCTTGAGAACAATATTCTTTGTTTGAGTTGTATCCATATTCATGTGTCTTCTGATGTGCAACCGAGCGCAAACCTTAAACAAAGAAATGATACTCTAGGGAATGACACGAGGTCTGAAATGGGAAAACATTACTTCAGAGCCGAGGAGGTCTATTTATAATGTAAGGGTCTAAATAGGCCGCTGTTCAAGAGATAGAGAACGAGCACGTGTGTTGCGCAACACAACGAGCAAGGTCTATTTATTGTTTTTATAACATATAAATTAGTATCGTGATTTTCCTATAGTTTGATCGTGAGATAGCAACCAAATAAACCGTAGTTGATGGCTAAAAATTGCAATAACTTATTAACGTATCCGTTATTTTGGGTACGACTGATAAAAATAATTTTGGGTGCTCTCATAAACCTCGGGTCACCAGCCAATCAGATATGATGAATTCCTTGTCTTGTTCGTAAATATACCTATCCATACCTAATTTTTTTTGATTTTCAGAATCTGACACTTCGGACATGCGCTGTACATTACTAAAGACAAATATTGAATAGACAAACCTTGTATTGCGCAGTAGAGTCAAAGCAGAACTTCATTCCTTTCCGTTTTCCTTTGTATTCCAGGACGGATTTTATCCCTTCAACACGAGCTGCGACAGACAAGTTGGGAGCGACCATTGATTCGTCGTGACTTTCGACGTCACTAGTGACGTCATCGCATTCCTTAAGTGAGGTGTAGTAAGCATCTTTGCCGCTCCAACAAACAGCGACCCCAACGACAACCTCATCAGTCCCCTCGATAGGAAGCCCCTTCGAGGACCCTTGGTTCATTGGAGGACCTTTATTAAAGCGCCCTCCAATCTTAGGGACGTTATCGAGTAGTGTCTCGCAGCCCACCGCAAAAGAAAACTCCTTTCGCGTCTTCCATTCTCTTAAAAATGTATGGAAAAGAAGATCATTGGCTGACACGTCAATGATTGAAACACTGGTAAATGTACATGAGGGCGAGGCTAGAGAGTCTACGCATGGGGAGTCTAGGCTTGAGTCCGATGCCTGGTTGCTATGGGTAACCTGTGAGGTTAAGTCTGACTCCGGAGTTTCGACAACGAGAGTTTGATGCTCAAAATTGTTTTCTTGGGAGCGTTTTGGAGTTTCATGATTAGAAATCTCTGCCTCAAGGATTGATTTCTTCGCTAATTCTTTATCCCTGGCCTTGATTTTCGTAAGCTGTTTTCCTCTCCCATTTTCCCTCTCATCCAAATTTTCTCTCGCTGCGCCGATCATATCAAAGTGCCTTTTACCATGGTCGTCTTCTGTCTGTTTTCCCTGAGTTCTGGCAAGTAGCACATTTGTTTTCGAGCTTTTGTCTCCCTTCAACTTCTCACTCTGCAGTCTCATTGCATTATCTTCGTTGATAACGCTTTTTAAAATATTCTGTTCCTCTCGCTCCCCTGAATTTTTAGCGACTACAAGTTCACACTCATCACCAATGCTCTCCGACAGAGACAAATTCAACGAAAATGACCCCGAGTTGTCCAAGTTTTCTTCCTCGTGTCGTTCCTCGCCCGGTCTAGAGGTCAAGGAGATAGGTGATATGGGAGAAACTCGTTCATTATCTGATCCTGTGGACGGTCCTGAAGGATAAAACCTTCCTGTCGACTGATATCGAGAACAGGAATCAAACTCTCCAATGACGTCATCACAGCCTAGGTTTCTATTGGCTGCTCTCTCAGTAGTTTTTTTCTGAACGACTACGTGTTGGTCAATGTCTTCAGTTTCACTAACACCCTGAGCAAAGGTAATTGGACCCCTTGCTTTCTGGTTGATGACGTCAGAGTGCTTTCCCATGACGTCATCATAACCTGGATTTCTATTGGCTTCTTTCGCAGCAGTTTTCTTCTGAACGACAACGTGTTGGTCAATGTCTTCAGTTTCACTAACACCCTGAGAAAAGTTGATTGGAACACTTTCTTTCTGGTTGATGACGTCCTTGTCTATGACGTCTTCAGATAGGTCATGAAAGTCTAAAAAGTCTAGAGTAGAGCTTTGCTTTTCCGTATCTTCAACTATTATACCGCAGTGTTTAACTAAGAGATCATCGGAGATAGAAGAGGTACCTTCGAACTCTAACTGCTCCATCGTAGTGCTAGATTTTTCTGTATCTTCTACCATGAGGCGCGACWCGATCTCCTTGGACGCTTCCTGGACTCGATGATTAGCCATAAGATCATCGGAGGTAGAAGATATGCCATGGAACTCAAGGTGTCCTTTCGTAGACCTACAATATTCATTAGTGTTTGTGCCAGGGTGTGACTCGATCTTCCTGGACTTCCCCTCGTCGCGATATTTAGCCTTAAGTTCACCATTGAGCTCCAATTCCCCTGTTCGAACAGACTGCTCAGTGGCGTCCTTATCGGGGCGTGACTTCATCTCCTTACCACCGATGTATTCATATTGTCCTGTGTTACACTGTTCACTAGCGTCTGTCACGGGACGTGGGTTCATCTGCGTGAACCCTCCACACTGCGCCAAATAACTATCACTCATGCTAAAACCCAAGGCTTGAGATCCAAACTCCTCATCACTCTTCCTCCTCCTCCTATCGTCACTCGCAGGTCTGTCAGTGTTCTCTTCTAGCGGCTCCGAGTAGAGTTCAGGAGAAGTCGTAGGGCCTTGTTGATTTAGCCTCAACTCAGACAAGTCTTCGGAGTTATCAAACAATACAGCAGATGAACACGATTCATCTTGGGCTGAAAACGACTGCGTTGTATTCAAACAAGATACTTTTTGCTGCATGGAATCTTGACAAAAACGTTTACCAGCGCCTTCATTTTCATGAAGTTCGTGCCTCGGGATCTTCTCCTTCGGAGACTCGTCGTCTTTTTGAATTCTTGGAGATTGTCGCTTTGGTGGTTTAGTTTGGCTAACCGGAAATACGTCATCGATATCAGTTGAACGTCTCTGATTTGTAGATTTTGAAGGACCAGGGGTGGAGAGCTTGGGCTTTGCTTTAGAAGTCAAGGAGCACAGAATATCCATCGCCTGGCTTCGTTTTTCTTGATCTTCATGTTTTTCTTTGTTTGTCTTGGTTTCTTGCAATTTCGTTTTCGTTTCCATGACTTGATTTTTCTCTTGTTTAGCCATCTCTTCCTTCTTACTTGTAGAACCCACCTCTTCATTACCTCCTAACTTTTCAACAACTTGATTGGCCATTGCTTTATCACGTGATATTAAATCCACATTCCCATGAGCATCTTTGCCCTTATTTTGAAAATTCTTCTCATCCGTATGTAAATGTCCAGTGTTTTGATTGGTGGTTGCCGAATCACGTGACAACAACTTTGAGATCTTACAATTTTTGTCATAAAGTTGGTTTTTAGATTTCATCGTTCTGCTGTGGATTGAGTCTTTGTCTGGAGTTAAATTCACGCCCTTGGGCACATAATCTTTCGGGTGACCGCTGACTGAATTACTATCTGATGAGCCGTCTATGACTTTATTTAGTGAAGAGACTTCGGTGTTTCTGAAGCCACGAGTAGTCTGCTTGTCGTTATTGTTCGTAAACGAATTGAATTCTTCGATACTTTTTGCTAGTATTCTTTCATTTCGATCGCCAAGCTCATCCATTAAGATAGTCTTTCTGTTGTGTGTTTTACTACTCAAAATCCCATGGTAATTCTGTTCTGAAATTTTGGAAGAGTTAGACGAGTGACTTTTGCCTTGGCCTTCTATCGAGGAAATCGCCGCATTTGTTTGGATGTTTTTTGTCTGCTGCTCAACGATTTTCACCTCGGTGCTTCGTTTACCATCATCAGGCATTTGCATATTGGTGACTGCTATTTTCTCCGGGTGAAAATGCCCGGTACCCTCCGAGATATTGGTCCTACCAGGCATATCATTAGCTGGTTTTTTCGCCTTCTCCAAAAGCCCTGTACCACCCGGGATGCTGGTCCTACAGGGAATATTAGCGGTCATTCCTTTTTCCTTGCCCAAATGCCCTGTACCCTCCGGTGCAGCACTCGTACAAGGAGTATCACCTACGATACCCGAGCCTCGTGGAAGAGTCCCAGCTTTCTTACTTGCAAAGGAAGAATTCCCAGTGTTGATCGGGGATTTTTGGCGTTGCCTTGAAGGGGGTGACTTGCGGGACTTCCTGTATGATCCCGAAGAGCGCCGCCTACCCGACTTTCTTCTCTTTTTCCCTGACGCACTTGAGTTGCTCGCCGATGCCTGGGCATTCTGAGGTGATGTACTTTCTCCTTGACCAGGAGAAGAATTCGCAGGTGCATCAGGCGCCCTCCACGCGATCCCAAGCCGTGCGACATCATCCTGAAGGAACTTTTTAGCCTCTGCTATGATTAATACTGCTGCTTCTTTTTCACTAAGCCCTCTTTTTCCTGCCACCCAAATGACGCGAGCTTCCCTCCGATGACGGACTTCCAAATCCGTCTCACCCATATGTTTTCGCCCGCTGATAAACGGTACAGCGTTGCTCATTATACTCTCGATGTCTTCCACCTTGGCTGACGCCAGCGATGCTATGGTCTGGAAGCCAGCGTTATAGACGATTCGCGCACGCGCGGCATTCAAAACAGAAATCCTCACCAAGTCACAAAGCTCTCTCTCAACGCCAAACGACAACCTGCTCTGGAACTGAGAAAGCAAGAGGTCTAAATTCTGCCATCCAAGTCTCTGACAAAACACAGTGACCATTCCAGCAAACGTTGAAGCAGAACCTTGTAACGACTGAATCATCCCACGAGTCGCTCCATACCGACGAGCCACGAAGTTTAGAGGGACCTCTTGCACCAAATCCTGCAGCGCTAAAGCGGCGAAGAAGCGACGATGGACTCTTAGTTGTTGTCTCTGCTGTGGGGTACTTGTGGGGATTCTCCCGCGGGATGCTAATGCTAGGTAGACCTCCTTGATCCCGACTATGTCCGCTACTCGACGCATGTGGGAAGGAAGGCGTTCCCAAATACTGAGGAATTGGCTCCAGTCAATGTCTGGCCACTGTGCCTCTACGTAGATGGGCGTCACCTTAGTAGAAAACATTTAGAGTTAACCTGAGGCAATACAGTAGGAATGTATGTAAATGAGGTGGTTTTTTCAATTAGGGTAGGGTGGGGGCATGGCTGTGACTGTGGGATGACGCACCGCACTGTCACGTCACGGTAGTTGACGACATGCGGTGAACCAAACACAGTACGTGATATCATTGCTCAACCAATGAAAATGCTTGAACACGGCGCCGTCATGGTAACGGTACGTTCGTCACGCAAAATTCAATAAAATCAGTGCTGTACCTGGTATATGATATGCAGCTCACTCTCCAATACAAAACACTTTCTTGCTTTTTGTAGCTCAGCGAACACAACCAAAGCTTCGTCTGGAGATAGAGCAGAAGCGACAGTAGCAGTACCAAGCTGAGTGGGTACGTATCTGTCGATAGATTCTTCCACTTCCTGAAATATTCAACAACAGCAGAAAGAATTTATTGAACCCTGAAACAACCTCTGGGCTGATCTAAGTCAGGGCACAGCTAACTCACAGATTGAACCCTGAAACAACCTCTGGGCGTAAGGGCACGGCTAATTCAAAGATCGAACCAACCCGAAAAAAGCTGATTTTGGCTTGTTGGTTTGTAAAGTGTGAGAGATGCTAATGAACGACTTACCTCTTCGCCATCGGATCTCTTTTCCTTCACCGACTGTACACGAATGAATTCATTATCCACAAGAAAACTGATCGTCTCCGTGATAGCACATTTACTACCAGTGACGTCAGTCTCACTGGATGATGACGCAAAAAAAGTACACCCAGCGTAACGCTCGACGTCACGCAATCTCGTAACGACACCGCTAGCGATAACTTCCAGTAACGCTCTCTTAAGTCCACCGTTTTTTTCTTTGACTATAAATAGAAAAATGTTTTCTTAAATTGATTATAAACACGTGGAAATTGGTTGACAGGTTGGAATCCGGAATTGACGTCATATTCCTACATGGAAACTAACCCTAGTCTCGCGCGACTGGATATTCGGAAATTAATTCTTATTCAAGACAAAAATAGGAACTTACGTAATAAACAGCTCTTGACAGCTTTCAACTCAGATTTCATCAAGGTCGTTGCCTTGTGCCTCTCAGTTGCCTTGCACACCAGGATACTCTCCCCGCGGTCGTCCACACCCTTCCGACCAGCTCGTCCGGCCATCTGTTTATAGACCAATGGATCGACCATCTTACCATGGAAGGTTGGGGTACGGATGATGACTCTCCGCGCGGGAAGGTTTACACCTAAAATATAGGAAAAAGAAAAAAGTTTTWAAAAAATGAATTAGGATATATTGATCTGCTCTGGAAATTACTGCAAGAGATCTATATGAAATCTGTGGCACCTACCGGAACATAAAGTAGATGTAGCCACAAGGACCCTTATGGTCCCTTGCCTGAACGCCCCTTCAATAATGTCCCTCTCATCCACAGTCAGCCCAGCATGATGGTATGCCACACTATACGGGATTATACGCCTCATCACCGAGTCCAACCCTACCGGTGTTCTCTTCAGTTGCTCAAGAACCTCTTTGATGGCTTCGACATCAAACGCGATCAAATCCGACGCCCTCACGAAGCCACACTTCGGGGTTTTTCCGTCGTTTTTCGACAAGCCCAAATGTCCGATGGTAGAAAAATGGCGCGCAATCGCCTCTGCCTGCTTCTCGCACCAGTTTTTTGTAGGACAGAATATCAAGACAGAGTGACCCCCGCTGATGGTCTCTTTGCATAAGGGGATCACGTGATCGTCGTCATGGGCAACCACCGCAGCGGGGTCGATGTCCCTGATTTTTTTCATGGTGTTGTCGTAGACTGTCGGGCCGACTTTGACCATCTCGGTCAGGGGGACTGGGCGGTAGGCGGTAAAGTACAAATCCGCTTTCAACCAACGGGCAAGCATGTCTAGGTTGGGTAAGGTCGCACTCATGCAGACTATTTGTATCGCGGTCTCAGTCACTGAAATAAACTCAGAAAATTAATGAAGGAAAAACGAGAAATCACAGAAACGTCTAGAAATGTTCAAACGTGCATGGTCTCAAATATGAAATTTGTCTTAAACCACTAACTTTTTTAAGGGGAGAGGCTGGAGGGAGACCATTTAACGCATRCATAGTAGAATAGTGCTGACCAGGAGAAACGCAGGCTCTGGGTACGAAATTGCGCAACACTTTGGATTTCGCTAGTTTTGCTGTCGTTTTAAAAATAAAATTTTTCCTTAGCTTTTGTCACCTTTCTCTTCATTATTTTGTCCATCCTTGACTTTCCCTTGTCCACCGATAAAGAGAATCTTGGTCAAGAAAAGCTCCAACAAATATCCCCTGTGGGGGTCCCCTAACATGTGCATCTCATCCACCACTACTACCCCCAGGGTAGAAACTTTGTTCTCCTCCAGGAGACGATTGAGTAAGCTGTTGGCCTTTTCGATTGTGCAAACAGCAATGTCAACAGCGGCAAACCCACCGGCAGGATTATGGCTGCCCATGAAACCTTCTACGCGGACACTGGCCTCTTGGAACAGACGCTGTGATTAGGGTTGTTAATTGTAGCATCAGTTATATGTATCAAAAAATAATTATATAGGAAGGACTTAATTGTTTATGGGGGGGAGGGGGTTGGGGGGTTTGACAAGAAGTAAACTTTAAGGGGGGAGATTCTCCAGAGAATAGTCAGGGGACAGGATTGGCAAATGATGTCGTCAAGACCTGGCTCTCCAGAGAATATGAAGGTTGGGGAAATGATGAGTTAAGGACTAAGGTGACATGGGTGGTATGTACTGTTACGGCACTGTCTGTCTAGCTCAGCACTGTATAGTTCATGCCTGGGGTCACAAGTTTGATTCTCAACTGAGCCACACATGTGAGTTGACATTGTTTCATGTGTTGCTTTCTCTCTTGCTACAATGGCTTTCTGCAGGTCCTCTGGTTTTCCTTTTATTTCGTAAAAATCAAAATTCAAGGTTGGTGTTCACTGTTGTGTGTTGTAAATATAGAATGTAGTGGTAGTGCATGTGGAGTGAACCTCATGGAACAGTCCTTTACGAGGAGTGATGGTCGTAAAGTTCATTAGAAGAAGGAGAGACACCATGCAACAATTCCTAATGTCACAAAGACAACGAAATTCTACTCTCTTCTACTTTTTACCTGTAAATAAAACATCTTTTCTCTTGCCACACTAACATACGGCAGAATAAAGAGTGCTTTTCTCTTTGTTTCTAGTACCCTCTTCAGCATCAGGAGCTCAGCAACCATGGTCTTGCCAGCACTGGTAGGGGCAGAGTATACTAGATTGCCTGATTACATTTAAATAATATTTATTAAAACGGTTGCACATGAGAAGACACATGAATATGGATACATATGGTCTGAAATAGGCAAAGTAGTGTACTCCCATTTACTGTTAAATACCTCCTCGCAGCACATTTCCAGTTCTTAAACACTCTGCCTGCCATTCAAACATGTGTGTGATACCCATGTCATGGTATCGCTGTAGTACTGAGGGCGGTAGACCCCAGGAACTTAAGCTGAGGACATCAGCACCACCACTGCTGGGTTCCATCTCAAGAACACTTGTCATGCTACCAGTGCTGCTACTGGGCCTTGAGTTTTCATCACTGGTTGATAAACTGTACAATTAAGAAAGAAGGCATGGCAGACAAAAATTAGAAATTACAGCCTGGTTTACAGTGCTATGCGACGTACTGTGAACATTTCTATGAGTTTTTGATTTCTTTTTGACATCTTTTTGATGACTTTTTGACAAGTTTTTTTTTGATGTTTGCATAGGGGAAGTTTGTACATCGATGTTACCATTTTGAAACATTAAAGTGAAGCGCTAAAACGTAATTGGTTAGCAGTAAAGAGATCTATTAAAACTTGTCAAAACCTTGTATGAAACTTTTTTGTTTGTTCACGATTCAGTGTGTAGCACTTAATGAATGGGATTACTGTGCAAAAACACTAACTAGGGTTTTAATTTGAATTTCACCTTGGATTGTCATTCCTTTGGCCATTAATTTTTTCACCCTCATTTTCTACATCTTTGTCAGCAACTATTTTACTGCTCTGAAATTTCTTTTCATTTTGTTTAGACTTTTCCTTTCTTCCATTGTCATCACTCAAAGACACACTCGATGCCAAATTAACAGGTGAAAGTGCTGGAACATCAGCTATTGGGGAAACTAAGATGTCTGCATCTTTGTCGACAATTCTTTTACTGTTCTGAAAATCCTTTTCATTTCCACCATCATTATCATTAAAAGCAGCACTTGATGTCAAATTGACAGGTGAAAATGCAGGTAAATCAGCCGTTGGTGAAACCAAGACATGTTGACTTTCTTCTATCGGAGTTGAAATCCTTTCTCGTGCTCTCAATGTTCTTGTTTCCATACTGAAAGGAGTTGTGCTCGCAGCATGAGGAATATTTCTCGTCTCAACACCAAAAGAAGTTGTATTTTCACAATTAGAAGATTTTTGAAACAGATCAGCTATGGTCACTTGTGGTGTAGTTGCAGATGTCTTGTCTGTTGCTCTGCGCTTATGGGGAATGGGTGTGGTACTAACAGATGGGCCATGTTCCTGTTCGAGCCGGTCCATTTCAGACAGAGCTGCGGCATCAAAATCAAAGCCAAAAGATACATTGAGGGAGCCATTAGGTGAGGTAAGACAGGGGCTGTTTCTTGATATGGCTGGGACCTTGATGAAAAGTAAAAAAGTTTTTAGCAAGTTTTTTGAAAGATGTGTTTTTTATTATTATGATTTTTTAATGCATATGTCTGCTTTTGAAGATCATTTGAAGCATACCAACCTAAAATCCTCTGTATTAATCTTGTCTTACCACTAAAATCGCCAAATAAAGATATATCTCTTATCTTACCTGCCCTTTCGTCTGTCTTGAATAGCAGCTTGCAGGACTTTTGAATTCTGATTTCAAAAAAACAGTAAAAAATAACAAAGTTTAAATGGTCCACAAAAGCTAAAAAATTTACCTTTATGATAACAAAATATCGAAGTTGAATGTCTAGTGTTTTTGTTTGAGACTCTCTCGGGAAAATTTAAAGTATTACCTCTTTTTACGGCGTCATTTCGTAGGTTTTTCTCTCTCTCTTTCAAACTTGTACTCGTGTTTGAAAATTTTGAATTTACGTTTTTTTTGTGTTTCCATGTCTGAGATAAGCGCTTCATTCCCTAAAATAAGGAGTTAAATAAATGATAATAGAATATGATATAAGGTTAAAGCGTTATTCGTCATGATATCGGAATAAATAGAGAAAAAAGACGAGGAAAATGTTGTAAACAAATCGAGTTCAGTTTGGACGCCATGTTTGAATTCACCGCCTCGGCTGCGCATGTTGCTTTATTATTATACCGCTGAACAACACTTAGATTGCGGGCGCTAAAAACAGGAATCCCAATAGCAATATCTTTATTCCCTCTTTGTAAATAAAATCACCTTCTTACAAGAAGAAGAGTAGATATTTCGTGATGCTTGATAGATCTCTTCAGCTCCACAGATGTTAAACTTAGTTTCCTCAATAATGGAGGTAAGTGTGACCTCAAGTTTTACCCTCCCCACCCCTTGAAATACAAATCCCCCTCTTATCTGTGGGAATCTGAAACTACACAATGTACCCTCCTCATACCCTCCCCACCCCTTGGAAATCCCAATCGCCCTTTGTGGGGGAGGTATGGACATTTTCTGGAACTACACAATATACCCTCCTCAGACCCTCCCCACCCCTTGGAAATTCCAATCCCCCTCTGTGGG